TGCTTAGGCTGCTGCCCCCGCGACCCGGCCCCGGATAAAGCGGATGAAGATGGATGGAACTTTGATCTGAAAGTTGTGGAGTTAAAAAAAAAAGTACATCATGTGTAGTGTAAAACATTATGTTACTAAGTAAACAAAACCAAAGCATCTCCAAGTATTTGTACATTACTTTGTTCATAAACCTTTGCATACCTGTGGTGCAATAATCACCATGTACTGCTGATTTAACACTTATGTACAAACCATAATCATCCCATCTGACTGATTATGGCTGCTCATAGATGCGAGATGTTTATCAGGAGTTATTATTCACACATTGCTGAGATGCTTTCGGGGTTGACTTGATGCTACTTGACGCCCTCAGTCAGGTGTTCACATGTTTGTCAGTAGTAGGAACATGTGTGCTGACGTGCGAGTGAATCAGAACAGACGGCGTTAGTAGCGCCCGTGTGTCTGTTGCCATATCAGTGGATTTCTCAGCAGACTTCTAAGCTTCTTAGCATGAACCAGTGTACGGTGGGGAAGCAGGCTGGTGTGTCCAATTGAGAAGAAAGGGGAAGGGGGTCAACTGACAGACGAGGTGGTGATCGAGTCCTTTTTATGGTTTTTGTTGTTGTTGTGTTGCAGGCCTAAAATTGAACGCAACACTCGACCCAAGTCTTAATTTCTTCATGGGTGTCTTTGTTTGACGTGCCACAGGCGTTTTAAACCAGATTTGCATGTTAGGCTTGTTGCACCCTCTCTAGGAATAGTGAGTATGACTTCAGAGAGGAGTTTCCTGTTTGGGAATGGTGCTCTTCCTGCATGGGGAGCAAGGGCACCAGAATGCTGAGGCGGTAACTCTGATAAGGATGATTATTGGAGTATCAGGTTGTTTTCGAAGTCATTTTACTTGTTTTGACTGTAATGTAAAAGGATGAATTTGAATTTCTGAACATTTTTCAACCCTGATCTCATTACACAGTAAACCATGTTTGTACCACAGAATGATATTATTGTTCTGAGAATGCTCCATGTTAGCGTAATGCTGTGTGGAGCCCAGTGCGTTCCATCATGGCCTCCCTGTGTTCCTCAGAGTGATGGAAGTGAGGTCAAAGGTGAGTGATGTGTTACAGATGTGGTTCGGATTTAAGTCTAAGTTTAGTCCTAAACTATCCCCCCCCCCCCAACAGCTTTACAGAGACACTGAGTCTCTGTTGTTTCTTGAAAGGTCAAATTGCCTGCCTGTCAGTCAGTACATGCTGATGTTTATTACCTTGATTTAATCAGGAAGCCCAGCAGAGGCCTGGTCAAAGTAAATGGCCTGTATTTATATAGCGCTTTACTAGTCCCTAAGGACCCCAAAGTGCTTTACATATCCAGTCATCCACCCATTCACACACTGGTGATGGCAAGCTACATTGTAGCCACAGCCACCCTGGGGCGCACTGACAGAGGCGAGGCTGCCGGACACTGGCGCCACCGGGCCCTCTGACCACCACCAGTAGGCAACGGGTGAAGTGTCTTGCCCAAGGACACAACGACCGGGACTGTCCGAGCCGGGGCTCGAACCGGCAACCTTCCGATTACAAGGCGAACTCCCAACTCTTGAGCCACGATCACCTCAAGTAGCAGCCTTCCACAGCAAATACCCATCCACAGGTCTCCTTCACTGCATTCCTTCTAATGCTATTAAATTCACCAATAGATATACGCATGTTTTAAGTTTGCTGTTAGTTTAATGTTACAGTTAATGACAGCATGCTTTACTCAACAGCCTAAGATGAGTGTGTAATGATGCATTATTCAGTACGAGGGCATGTGGGCCTCATTGATGGCAGAGTTTTTTCTGGTAAGTGTGTTCAACAACACTCTTGTGTTGTTCCCTTAGCGATGTTAAAGTTCAAACCAGCTTAGTTAATCGTTTGCCGGACCTTGACTGGACCAACTCCCTCTCCTTTTCTTTTTTTTTTGACCCCACTTCCTTCTGAAATGGCCTGCATTTCCTCCCTCCTCCTCCTCCCTCGTCTTCTTCCACTCTGATGACTTTCAGACGTGTTTTTCCAGTACTTCTTGACTGGAGCACGGTTCCTTTGGCTTGCCTTTGTCACTCAGTATCGTCTTCCTCACCTCTTCCCTCTCGCTTTGCTGCTTTCTCTTTCGAGGAGGTTGCGTCTGTCGTCAGGGGGCTAGACTACAGCTGAGACATTTTCAGAATCAACCTTTGCTCATCTCGTGCCTCTCCTCCTATCCCCTTTGTGTTCTCAGATTTCGGTGTTTGTGTTTGCGTGTTCAACAGCAGGGAGTCCCCCCTCATTAGCTACAGCTTCTGAGCCTTTGAGGATACAAGTGTATCACTGGCAGGATGCGTGTCTGCAGAGGCACAGTGGATGTGGGTGTTTGCCGTAATTTAAATTCATGGCTGAATGCAGCCCACCTGATCTCGAATGTTCTGCCTCTGTTCTTCACACAGAGAGGTTTGACTGGAATCACCTGCGAGTGTGTGTGTGTGTGTGTGTGTGTGTGTCCCACTCAGCAGATGGCCAGACATCCAGCGAGTAGACTAATTGAGATAAGCATGCCAACAAGCTGACCAGGCTAACAGAATTATAAGCTTGTGAGGAGGCGACATGGAAATCCAAATGCAGCTCTGGCATGTTTATTAGCATAGCTTACGGAAGCAGCAGCTGTAAACTGTGCAGGGGTCTATTTCTTTTCTTAAGTATAACAAGCTGGTGAAATAAAATTATGTGATTCCTGGGCTTAGTTTAGCTCTGTTTAGTGTAGCAATCTTGTGAGGATGATAATGTTTTCATATCACTGCACATCAACACACACACACACACACACACAAAGACACTCACTCATTGTTACTGTTTGTCTTATCTCTCGACAGGTGTTCTCAAACAGCGATGAAGCCCCCATTAATAAGAAGCTCCCCAAAGAGCTTCTTCTTAGGTAAGAATAATTATACCAGACACACAACATACAACACAACACACCCAGGGACGAGGGCTTAGGTCAGGGTTACTCATTAGCTCAAGCAGCCTGGAACGGTGTGTGTTTGCTCTGCCTCTGTTGGTGGTGTAGGTGCATTTGTGTGTTTAGTATGATGTTTGTCAGCCACCAGCCTGAAATAAGGTTCTTTTAGCTGTGTGTGACCTACAGACCAATATTTTGTCCCACAGCAGCTGCACATGACCCATTAATCTGACATCACTCGCGCAGTCACCCATGTTCATCCTTCACGCTCGTTTATGTGGAATGGAAAGGGTTGCACTTGCATATATCTCTGCTGACACATGACACGCTGTGCACTCTGTGAAAGCTGCATTTTTTGTGTGCATGCGTGTGTGCACGCATGTGTGAAACACTCCTGGGCCTATGCAAACTGTATGTCTCTGTAAGTGAGCTATAAATAGTTTTGTCATAGCTAGTGGGGAATTCCGCAGTGCTCTGCTCTTCTGCTGGTCCATACGCTCTCCCAGCATGCCCATTATGACCAGTGCATTTCCACTGGTGGTCAGAAAAACATGTATTAGTCCTGCACTATGGGGGCCAGATGTGCCCCAGTGTGCTGCAGTAAAAGATTGGAAGAGAGGGCCCCACATTTCATGCCACTACCTAGGCTCATTGTTGGCTGCTCATAATACGCCACCAATTGGTACTGAGTGTGGACCAGAATGTTGCTCTGAGAAAAAACATGACTTTTAGCCACTGCTTTACTCACAAGGGGTAACCACATAGTTAATTTGGTAGAGATACTCTTCCTGATCCAAATCTCAAATGATTTATGTCACTTCCCAAGCTTTAACCAGCGGTCTTTTGTTAGTTAGTCAAAATGTGTAGTTTCACTTCCATTTTACTGAGGTTTTGAATCAGTTGCTTTCTAACAGCCACATATTTCAGACAGTGTAATAAAAAATGTTCTGTGGGTCATGTTCTCCACAATAGTCATATCTGCCTGTATGTTGTTTGGCGCATTATTGATAATGAACAATGCGGGCCCACAGTGGATATATGTGGGCAAACTATGGGGCTGTGTCAGGGAGGGCAAATCTACACTTATCCCATACGAAGCCCAACTGAGTGTACCCGCACAGGGCCAAACGCAATTTTGCCCTTTGGGGTCCTTATATATAAGTTTTCATTGGGCAAGCTATAAAAAAACCCAAAGGCCCACAGAATACCATTATAGGGCCCAGAGGTGCAAAACTGCAATGGACCACACAGGCTAACCTACATAGAGCCTACATGGGTTTTCTGTGGGGAATCCCATAGTCAGTATCCCAATAGAAAACCCTTAATAGGGGCCCCAAAGAACAAAACACCTGCCAGACCTGTGTGGGCACACCCAATTGCCCCACAGCTCATCCACAATTACACAGCTTGGGCTCGCACCAGCATGTTTGCAGGGTTAGTGATCTGAATAAGCTGATGTTAAGGGCTACATTTTTTAGCCTTTCTGGTTTATGGTTGGTCGTCCATACATTTTCTTAAAAAATTATCCAAATTAGGTCGCAGTGGTTGCTGGAACCTCTCCCAGCTGTCATGGAGTGACAGGCAGGGTACACCATGGGCAGAGAGCCAAATGTGCTCACATTCACGCCTGTGGTTAATTTCTAATTACAGATTAACCCAAGATGCATATTTTATAACGACTGCAGTATGCCACCATGTGTTACACGTTGGAAAATATGCAGCTCGAGGAGTAGTGGCTATTTATTTTGTTAATTTGTGTTCTTATTAGCGTTGCTGTTTATGTACAGAGCATCACTAGCGAGCAAGCCTGAATTGCTTGTGCAGCAGTCTGCGTCTTAGTGGGTGCACTTGTAAACAGCCGTTATGTAGGCCAGCACAGCGCAGATATAAACTGTGAAAACTGTGTGACATCCAAGAACCCTGTCTGACAGACAAGCCCCGGAGAGGGAGCGTTCGGGGTGGTTCACGGTCCTCTTACCCAGAAGCACTGACTCAGCACCCTCTCCACTACCACTAAATTCATGTCTGAGTTGTTGCCATGACAACCAGGCCCAGACTTTATGGCGAAGGCTCGACTCTCCCTTTTCTAGCCATGCTTGAAGGGCCGGGTGACAACAAATGGGAGTGTGCTTCATGAAAATCCTGTTATGTGCCTTGTCCGAAAAATAGGGACGCCCAGGCAGGATCTGATAGAGTGATCCAAGGCTTTTCTCTTATTTCGTGCTCTGCATTCAAAGGTGCCCTTATTGCTTTCCTGTGTGTAGTAAATTGGAAAAAGATACCATGCTCATGGTGTTGTTGCTCTGAATTTGTCTGTATTATGTCACGTCCTTCACTTTCTTTTGTGTGTCTTATGAGAAAAAGTCCATGTCAGTCCTACCCTGCCGGTAATATGATCTATCTGTGTTCAGCAGTCTCTCTCAGCTGGTAGCAATTACAGATTTCAGATAGGTTAACAGGACTCACCAAATCAGATTGACTGATTCCTTCGCTGTGAGTGTGAGTAACAGAGTTCTTCTGTGGTTACTAAGAGGCCTTTCTCGCACACATAGTGGAAAGTCAGATTGTAGTTGATTAAAACGGGCAATCAATCATTGGTCAGCATCGCGGCCATTAACCAGTTATTAGGAAGGAGATCAATGTGTACGATCAACTTGATTGGTCGGCCCCTTGGGTGCCAGCAACCTCTCCAGGATCTGTGTACCCTGCGTGAGAGTGCATGGAAGTTGCATATGCATTGCTTTGTCAATTGTATGATGTCTGTACTCTGTGACACCAGACTCTTGTATAGATTATACAGACTCGTCCTGACATGCCCTGGCCTAACACACATCAAAACACACAGCCTTTGTCCGTGTCTATTTGAAGGAAACAATGGCCAGCTCCTGTTTCCTAGGGTTAAAAGGGCAATCAGACCCCAGCTGCACTCAAAACTTTGGCACTAACAGCTCTCTTAACACCTCAGATTTTCTAAAGATTTTCCGTTTAAGTCACTTCTGTGAGATTTAACAGACCGTTTTATCACAAGAACTGACAGGAGGTATTTGGCTTTGTTGTGTGTGTGTGCGCGCATGTGTGTGTATGTGTATGTGTGCCCTTCTATACATGCTCATACTGTATCTCTGTCTGTACCGGCCTTTTGGTGGCCTTGCTTGTCTGAGTGCCAGAGATTACTCATTGGCAGATTAATGGATTGAGCTGACCCAGTAGCCTGCTGCATGTGGCCCTTTGTGGCTGACCAGCCCATAGCTCAAACACTGCCTGTCTATGGGCCTACCAGCCAAACACCACAGATTGTTCTGTTCCCTACAGACATAAGAAAAAAAACATGCTTTCACTAGCATCAAAGAAAGAATAAGGTGTTCCAGCATGTGCTTGAGCAGAGCTCCTTATCTGAGTATGATCATATGATCATTAATATGAGAAAACCTCATCCTCCTCTTTGTCTCTCTTTCTAGAATATTCTCCTATTTAGATGTGGTGACACTGTGCCGGTGTGCCCAGGTGTCCAAGGTAAGCGCCTCCCTTTCAACGCCACATCCTAATTAAGACCTTACTATTAAAAAGGAGGTAAATCTGGTTTGTACTTACTGAATTCTCTGGGCAAGTGTATAATATGGTGCCCTCTGCTGGCTCTGTGTAAAGGGAACCACAGTGAACTGCAGCTTAAAGTGATTTATAAAATGATCTGTGTGAATTATTGTTACAAGCCACTGACTGAATGCAGAGCTTTTGGGGCAGCCTCTCATACCACAGCTTCAAATTAAACTTTTATTACCTGTGACAAGGCCCAAGGAAGGTTTTCTTTTGCTATGTAACATGTAAACAAAACAAATGTTATTATAAAGGCAGTTTATCTCTTTCCTGTTGAATTTCATGTATTTTTTATTTTTTTTTTACATCGGACTATCTTTAATTATGTAACTTCTTCAGTTTACAAAGACGCCAAAGAGAGAGGAGCAGGAAACCCTCACATTAGATAGGACAAGGACTGACAGTGGAGACTGTTGATGTGTACACAAACCCGTAGCTGCATGATGATTAAAAAAGTCACAGTTCACCTTCTTCCACCTCTGTCTGACCCATTTTTCTGTCTCTTTGCACAACCTGTCTGTCACCTTCTCAGGCGTGGAACGTCCTGGCCCTAGATGGCAGCAACTGGCAGAAGATCGACTTGTTCAACTTCCAGACGGATATAGAGGTGAGGGTCGTGTTCATGAGAGAAAAAAAGGAGCGAAGGGTTCGGGTTTTGAGCATTTCCTGCGTGTGTGTGTATGTGTGTGTGTGGACGTGAGAGCTTGTTGAGTAGCATTATCTAGTCCAAGGCTTAGTGCTGGGTCAGTAGGCTTTGGTGCCGACTGTGACGTCACAGCTGATCCCCTGTCCTGTAGCCCAAGTCATATTACTCTCTCTGTCTGTCCGTCCGTCCGTGTATCCCTCAGGGCCGGGTGGTGGAGAACATTTCAAAGCGCTGTGGAGGCTTCCTGAGGCAGCTCAGCCTGAGGGGCTGCCTGAGCGTTGGAGACGCCTCAATGAAGTGAGAATACATTGACCCTCTGACATGCACCGTTATAATAAACGTGCTTCTGCTTTGATTTTTAGCAACAAACATCCTTTTGTTGGTTTGATTACTTCCGTTTCGGTCCCTGTGTGATTATATTTAAAGTTTTAGCCGAGTGTGTGCGTCTTCATTCCCAAGGGACCCTTTAATTTTTTCTTTGCTCACTGCAAACATACAAAAAACTAACAAAACAAAAGAAAACCCCACGGGTGTTTAATTTTTATATTCTTCTGAGACTGTTGGATCTCATAATGTATTTCTATCATCTCTGTAAGCAGCAGATTTAACCGATACTTTCTCTTCTTTGCAAAGCAAGGCTTTTTTTCTTTGTAATAGAAACTTGTGAAAACGTCAGAAAGAAGTCCCTTCACCTCACTTCTTCCATGCTTCACCTGTTTCCCAGGACTTTTGCTCAGAACTGCAGAAACATCGAAGTGTTGAACCTTAACGGCTGCACTAAGATCACAGACAGCACCTGCCTCAGCCTCAGCAAGTTTTGCTCCAAACTCAAACACTTAGATCTCACTTCCTGCGTGTCCGTCAGCAACCACTCCCTCAAGGCCCTCAGGTAGCACCAGCACACTTGTTTTCGCTGCGGTATTTAAATCACAAGGGCTCACATGTCTTTAACTTGATATTTCTCTTTTATTGTGCAATGTGTGCGCATGCTCAGTGATGGCTGCAGAATGTTGGAGACGTTGAACTTGTCGTGGTGTGACCAGATCACGCGCGATGGCATCGAGGCCCTCGCTAGAGGTTGCGCTGGTTTACGAGCACTGTTCCTCAGAGGCTGCACACAGGTACGCACATTTATTTTCTTTATTTCAGGTTATTTTATGCCTTCTTTGGCCCTTTTAAAA